TCAACCGAACATCACTCAACTACGAAATCAATACATGAGAATAGGTTGAGTGAATGCTCAATCAGGTAAGTAGTGAGTTTGCAAGTGTGTAGGCTAAAAATCAATACATGCTGAATACTAACTACCTCAGGGAATTAGGTGTACACTAGTCCACCTCATTCAGTATTTCAAAAACAAAGTGAATGTAGTCTCGGTCAATTATTTTGCTAAAATAATTCAATTTCATCCTCTGAGTCAGTCAGTAAATTTCACAGTCTCCAAATAATCACGGAAGTTCGTGGTGTGAAGTGAGTCAACTTCGAAGACGGTGGTATGTCAAAGATAAACAAATCTCATGATTTCTACACACAAGTGGAAGCAATGGGAGTAGTGAAAGCAAACACTCGACTAACTCCACACTCGAGGTTCAACCTCATCCTCACCATCTCATGTATCTTCCTGCCAACTGATCAACATGAGAATACAATTGTCAACTGTACAAATGAGGGAGAGGCAGTCGAGATTCCACTCGAATTTATTACAATGATGAGCAACACAAAACAACTGGAAAGATGGGGTAGCACCACTCAGATTTGTATGAGGATATGTGGAATAGTGGGAGGTGAGTAACACACAGATTGTCAATGGAGATGAAATGACACATGACACATGATCCACTCCAACATTCAACTATCAATACTTCATCACTCTGACTATCTGACATAACCATGATTTGGCAAACTCCTACTTACTCATATACTGTGTAATGATTGTAGTTGAGATGGAAATGTGAGGAGTGGTAGGATTGAGATTCGGACAGGGTTGGATTGAATCCTGCAGGCCTCCACATTTATTTACCTAGATACACATCACATTCTGTTGTACCATTACATACTCCCAATGTAGACGCGTGAATGGAAGCTTTCAACCGACTCCTACATTGACACGCCTCACGTTTACTTACCACTCTAGTTGATTCAACTCTATTTCCTTCCCAATTTGTTACTCTTATCATTCGTGCTGCTTGATGACTGAATGTGAAGGGAAAATTCCAGTGGTTGGAGAATTTGACCCACCTGTCAACAAGTTATCCCACCCATCACCATAACAAGTCACCTACGAAACCATACTGTTTATCGTTTCCTAGATTTTATTCAACTCTAATTTTCCACCTCTCCAACAACACTCAATGTCGATTGTGACAAGAAGACATGACTCGGTAATCACTGTGCTCACCATGAACACACAGTCATGTATCAGGCATTCATTCACATGCCAGTGTGGTAACACCCTGAATGAGTGAATGCCGATTGAAGTCTGCTTGACATCTGGGTCGTATATTTCAGTTGGTAGAAGACTGGAGTGGAAAGGCAGAGCCTATCAACCACTGACGTCTCAGGCAGCCTCATTCATGGTTGTCTTTTCAGTAGGGTCAATGGAGATGGACTGATAAAACATAACAACCGTGTGCAAATATTATTCATATTCTCTTTCTTCTTCTCCCAGCTTAACTCTCCCTCAGGCGTCATTGTGATAATCACTCCACTTTTCACATCATTAACCAGTCTGGCTAGGACTTTCATCACTCGGTTGTCACATATTGTAACCTCTGTAGAATTCACTGTTTAAAAACATTCTCATCAGCAGTAATTGAAGACAATGAGGAAATTAAAGCAGAGGACGCTGATACTTACCGATAGTCACTACAGTGTATGACATACAAAGTCACTCAATTCCTGTGTAATTTCACAGTGTCAGTAGACCAACATTCACTCTGACAAAATAATGTTTACTTAGAATCTGCATTCCGAAATTCTAGGTGGTTAGTAATACAATACATATCAATGTAAGTAAATTCTCTTCTCTCCATCACTCATAGTATGTTCCATACAAGTCCTCAGAAAAACTTCAATTATTGACCAGTTCTGTTTATCTGGATACTGAAATTTACTCTACAGTTAGTTACTGACTGATGAGAAGAAGGAAATTTCAGTTCAGAATATGATGTGAATGAATAATAGTTATATAAGAAATGAAGTATAACCGTCGGATTGTTAACAGGGCGAAATTGTACACAGGAATTCATTTGTACTGAAAACTCATCAGGTTGACTAGTTAAATGGAATATTTTTAGGTGATAAGAAGTTTACACAAATTGAATGGTTCGATGAATTCTGAGAATGACAGTTAAATAACCATGTAGTTGACTTTTTGAGATTGTTGTGTTTGATACCAGATTATTTTATTTTACGAGTGTTATAATTATTGTTGATGAGTGGATCATCGGAATTAAGGGGCACTAAACAGCTGTCTCGTCATACCGTGGTATTCCGTTGCAGCACGTATAGTACTTATTAGTGACGTCTTTCGAGATGGATATACAGAAGATGTGATGAGAATCCGTGACTGATGAAGTCAACCACTTGGAAATGAGGCAGATGTCAACTAAAGACGTTGGCACATGGTCACCCTGTGCTACTAAGTGACAGAAGTAGGAAACTGTGGATTGCAAAATTGCGATCCTTATTCGGGTTTTTGATACGTAATCCTGGGGTGTTTCATATCAGGAACGAACAGCTATCCAACGGGTTCTTAGTGGCTTTCTAAATGATGTCAGTAGAGGATGAATACTACCGTTAAATTTATTGTAAAATGTTGAAATTCAGACTTGCAAATATCACACACGTACGCACACACAAAAATACTCCATGATGTACATAAGATCCAATCTAGTGGGAGAGGGAATTAGCAAAAGCAAAACAGTGCACAAGCCTTTCTGAACACAGATATAGTTTTATTGTCTTCATAACAATAACTTCAAATGTATATGGAAGACAAATTTCTACCATTTTTGATAGAATAGATAGGTATCTTATGAATTGCAGGTGACTTCCTTCATTTAGCCTTTCATCAAGTACACCAGGTGGTGCTCTATAGCATGTTGCGACAGAGCTATCATAATGAATCTTAGTTAGTTAACCCAATAGGACTAGTTGAACTTATCTATGTACACTGATGTAACCATATAAACAATTCTCTCCTTTATCTGTTTTTGGTAAGATACATCTAGTTATGTTGTGTATCCTCATAGTGGATGACAGGAAAATCTTCTTCAATAATGGCTGGAATCCACTGGAAAAAATTTCAGCCAGATTATTTCAATTTTTAATTGAATACTTACAAACAGTTACTTGTTACTGCAGATGTAGGTAACTGACTTCTTTGTTCCTCAAAGTGTATTCCACCCAAAAATGACCTCAAAATATTCATTTTAATGATGTCTGTGAACTCGTATAAGACGGCATGAAAACGTGCAGTAAAGTTCAGTGATTTAAGGCAGTACATTTCTTAACACCATGCAGATAAAGGAAAAAATTGGAACGATACTAAAATAAACAAGAATGAAATAAGAGGCGAGTATATACATATAGTTGAAGTTCAGTAAGATGTTGAGAAACCCAAAGATGACAGTTAGGGAATTCGCTACACCATGATGGATTTTGAAGTATTCCGATTTCCGTCTTCAACCATTTGATTCTATTACCTCAAACAGCTTAGAAATGTAACTTGTACTTCACCATGTGAAGCTTAGACCATCAGCTAATGACTTCATGCTGTGATGCTACATCTTTGTCTATAGCAAATGTTTAGTCCTTCTAACCTTATCCAACTCCAGACTTCGTAGTAAATCAAACATGACTGACAAAAAAAATCAACTTAGAACCTCGTATACAAGTGCATCTATTCACATTGCTACCCTTCACAGCACCATACAATGAACAAGTAGATAGGAAAGGCTTATCTGTGGAGAGGGAATTCAAAAGCTAAGGTTAGTTAAAAGATTCAGGCTATAGAAAACACCAGAGAATGAATACATCTTCACAGTGGTCAGCGATTTTAGCCATGTCACCTAGAATAATCAACCACCGATTTCTACCGTCCAGGAAACTTCAGCCAGGTAGTCTACACCTCCCTACACGGCTCAGACTATCAATCAAGGACTTCGATGACTGTTATCACGTCTCGTTTTGGTCAACGTGAACCCTCTACCAACTTAATCCAACTCCCTATAGCATGACAATTTTAGGTAGACGGTGGCTCGGCAATCACAACATAAATCGAAATCATCTCAGTCGATCAATGTTCATAACCTCATCAGTCAACTTGCCTGTCTTGTGTAGGACTCTCCTGTTGACGTCAACGCTTCTCACACAGTGATTTCTTTATATGCGAGCGATGCTATGGAGACATCCATGATCGAAACCTCTTTATCGCTTTATGCTTTCTACTTTTAACAGCTATGTCTCACTGTCGTATAACAGGATATAAGGGACTACAGTTCTGTATACTTGTCATTTGATAGATAGTCGGTGCGACAAATGAACCAAGTTGGCAAATGCCAAAAGTCCCTACTGTATCTGAGTTCAGATTTTGTCAGCAGCCAATCAGTTGGAGCTGATACAACTTCCCAAGTAAGTGAAGTGGTCCGCACATTCAACCACTTCACTATTTATCACCAAGTATGATAATGACTGCACATACATTTCAGATATCCCAACCTACTCACCCGTCAGCTACTAATTCTACTGTAAAATAGACAAATTTAATGGCGTGACAACAAATTAGTTCTATCATTCAGTATTCAGGTTCCTCTTAAGAACAGCAGTTTAAGTCAACAGTCACAGTCGACTAAAACCTGTAGTTGGGAAAGAAATTTAGGGTTGCCTAAGAACTTTCAACATCAAAAATGGAGATAAAATGGTAGTGTAAGCAGATGGGTCTGATTACATGGTCATGTGAAGGGGAAACAATGTCCTTCTGACTCACGAACGCCCAGCAGTGCACACAAGCAACCTGATATTTGATTAAACACCACTCGGAGAGATTGTACATAAATGCCTTATAATGCCAGCGCTGGTATATATTATATATAATCAGTCCTTTTATCTACTTTCCCCACCAATTGATGCTGTCAGCGAGCGTAGTTCTTCACGCCTAACACAAATAACCAAACAGTTAAAATGGCCACAGTGAAGTTAATAAAGTACAGTTTAATTCGTGGTTCATTGGTGTTGATATCGATCTACGGTAGGCATTGCAAATTGAGTGAAATTGTCTGCTAAGTGTTGATTGATTTCCTAGTGATATCTCCAGCCAAAATCTATCTAAAACGAACGTCACTTACTACTACTACTACTACTACTACTACTACTACTACTACTACTACTACTACTACTACTACTACTACTACTACTACTACTACTACTACTACTACTACTACTACTACTACTAAAAGGCTGACTATCAGTATAAACATCAGTAAGCTTAATTCTTGAACTGCGCGGTGAGCCAGTGTTTTTATTATTTTATACCTCATATTTCCATTATCGTAGATTATTTGGTCAGTAAATGGGACTTATGCAAGTGCTTACTTGTCAATATTCCAATTTCATTTGTTTTGAACTAATCAAACGACAAGTTTCATCTAACAGGGCTTTTTGATTCTGTTTTAGATACACCCATGTGCATAAGCATAAACAAACATGTTCAGAAAAAGTGATGATAAATAGAGTCATTGTGTATGTGTGTGTGTGTATATGTGTCAGAGAGAGAAAGGTAAAGAGAGATATAAGGAAAGAATAAAGTTATTTGTTTAATTTCACTCTTGGTGTTACTCCTTTGGGAGATTTGGTAATAGGTGACAAATTTCAAATTAGTTTTGATGATAATGGGTTTTAAGCTTGTCTACTGTGTTGAACACTGCTGGTGAGAGTGATAAGCTCGATTTCGTATGTGGTTATTGGTGCATACCGATGAGAAATTAGTGGATGAAACAGCATTTCAGTGCTCTTTGATTTTCGTTGGTTGTCTAGATGATCTCCATTTGTGATAAAAACTAATTTATGTATTTGTTTACTTGTCTGATAGTGTGATTAGGCTGAATATAGCTAAGAGTAATAAAATTAAATCGATAATGCGATTAGGTTATTTAGATCATCTGCACACGGTTCAGACAATTTACGTCTTCTTATTGTTTTGTCGAAGTTTATAAAGGGAACTAATTGTTTTAAATTCTTGAAGAGAAGACTCCCTCCGCACACTATCAAAAGGTTAAATGAACTTGTTAACCTTAGGTGCAAAATTACCTCTGAACGCGAGAGAATTGGATTTTACCAGTCATGTATTTCAGGTCATATGTTTCCCAGACAGTTTTACAAAACTTTGAAATCTAATAAGCTACAACCAAACATCTCCAATCTTATGCGTCTTACAAAGTCACATGTCGAAAATGGGCAGGATAAGCTGCATGATATGCTTTTACTCCACATCAATGTATCAAATATTCTATCGGATTTGTCAATAATATGTCGTTTGAAATTCCTACAATTTTGTAGTAATGTCATTCTCAAAACGAAAGCCAATATGCATCAGAAGCTAACCAGTTCACTTGACAGTAAAAATCATATTAACCATTTCCCTGTTAACCCGGATAAGTACGTTACTAACCTTTCTACAGTGACACTGTCCACCTATCAGAAGGAAGCCCTATCCCTTGGACTTAAATTTTGTGTTCCTCGAAAGCAGTCATCAGATTTGGCTACCCATGCACAGTTTGAAAACCTATACAACCAGTTGAAACCTCTCGTCCCAACTTCAATTGAGGACCAGGGATGGCTGAAAGCCAAGATGGTGGATATCGCCCACCAGTTTTGTGATAGCCATCAGAACCAGAAAAGCATTCTAACTTCTGAACATTTCAGAGCTATGAAGGAACTACGAGAGAACCCTGATATTATTATCCTCAGACCTGACAAAGGCTCAGGTGTCGTGATCATGGATAAAATCGAATATAAGTGTAAAATGTCATCGATTCTTGAAGATGAAAATAAATTCACTAAGGATTGTTCTTCAGAAGACGTACAATTGTTACAGGGAACTGTGACCGCTAATCTAGTGAAACTGCTCGAAATGAACGTCATTACCAGTCAAAAATTCGCCCTACTGAAACCAACTGAATCCCGATTCCCACATCTTTACGGTTTGCCCAAAGTACATAAACCCAACAACCCCTTACGTCCCATAATGTCAATGTGTAAGTCGCCAACGCATAAGCTTGCCCAGTGGCTAGTGGAGTTATTGGATCCCATTAAGAAGCAATTTTGTAAGTATTCCTTAAAAGATACATTTGAAGTAATCAAATGCCTTGAGCATGTCAACATAAAGAGTAAATTTATGTGTTCATTTGATGTTAACTCATTATTTACCAATGTCCCTTTGGTCAAGACAATTGACATTTTATGTAATTATATTTCTGTGCATAAGTTTCCGATACCCATTACTTTGGATCACCTAAAACAGCTGTTACTTTTATGTACAAACAATATTAAATTCACCTTTGAGGGCGAACATTTCCGCCAGGTTGATGGTGTCGCTATGGGAAGTCCTTTAGGTCCCCTCCTAGCCGACATATTTATGTCACACGTTGAGAACTTAGCCGAGAACTTAATAGACCAAGCCCATCTGTATCGAAGATATGTTGACGATATCCTGATTATTTGTGAAAACTCAAATCAGGCTACTTCAATTCTAAACCGACTGAACGAAGTACAGAACAGCATATCTTTGACATGTGTAAGAGAGGAAGATGACTGCTTGCCGTTCCTAGATATATTAATTAGTCGAAGGCAGGATGGATCCATAAAACGATCTATCTACAGAAAACCTACATGGACAGGGCAATATCTGAATTACCATAGCTTTTGCCCAGTTCAGTACAAGCGAACGTTAGTAAGGTGCTTATTCAGCAGAATTCAACGAATATGCACCGAGGATACTTTAGAAGATGAAAGAGGAACACTGACCGATATTTTGTTGGAAAATAACTATCCATCAACATTTATCAGGCAGAACAAAATCAGCAGAGCGTCAAAACTAGAACTGCAGTCAGTCCCAAAGAAGGATGTCTTCATCAGCCTTCCGTACAAAGGTGACTCTCAGAGTGCAATCCTTAAGCAGAGACTTAACGCTGCTGTTAGAAGGACTTACTATGCAGCCAGGGTTCGAGTAATCGAAACCACGAAGCCCTTATATTCCCCCAAACCCCCACAGCATGTGAACGATAATGTCACATCCCATTGTATCTACCAATTCAAATGTACGTGTGGTGACACATACATAGGGAGGACTAATAGATCCATGCAAGTAAGGGCCTCGGAACATATTCCAAAGTGGCTTCAGAAGCAAATCAAATCACCTGAACCTATAAATGTTGGTAGCAAACGTCCAAGCTCTTCGATCGCTAAACATATCGTTGAGACAGGTCACAAGATTGATGTGGCTACTTCCTTTACACCTATTTACAAAACATGTTGGGGAGGGATCCTGAAATTTGTTGAAGCCTTAGCTATTAGGAAGTTGAAACCACCTTTATGTATTCATAAACAATTTGTTGTCACATTAAACCTTCCTTGGTAAATTCAACTATTGAAAAACCAAGTTCGATGTACTATTATTTTTTCGCTCTATTGATTTTCATTGTTATTCGGCCTTTAAGTCAGCCTTCCTACCTGACCCCTTTTTATTTTCTCACCCCTTATCTTCATGAGTTTTTATATAAATACCTATGACAAGTACGTGTGTGATCAGATAGTTCGAAATGTGTTGCGCAAATACATTACACGGTTCAGACAATTTACGTCTTCTTATTGTTTTGTCAAAGTTTATAAAGGGAACTAATTGTTTTAAAGATGAATGTGTCAGAATGGAAAGAGTTGTCACGTTATCAGAAGTTGTTTATCATTAAATAGTGAATTGATTTGATGTTGAAAAAGATGTGCAGTTGAAGTATTATTTGACGATGCATAACTTCAATATTCATTCCAAACAATTGACGGTGTCTTCTATATGAAGAAGCCATATGCTAAGTGATTCACAGTTGAAAGCTCAGTGATGCCTTCAAAGTGAAAACAGACAGGAGGAAGACAAATTTGCCGCCTACTATCACCGATCATCTTCATGATTGTGGTCAACTGGACACGACTGGATCATGTAACAAACTGGGAGGAGCGAGAAGATGGGCATTCGCTGGCTGGATTGATGAAAATGCCCCAGGAGAACATTTGGATTTCGCCGCCGATGATCATTTATGTCCAGTGTCTTGTCGCAAAAACTCGAAGATCTACAGGCGAAAACTAACAATTTGGCAATAGAGGCGAGACAGAGCAGCGAAGGAAGACAGGACTTCCTTCAGCCGGACGTAGAGAAGACACAGGTAATGAAGGTAACCATCTACAAACACCAACAACAGCAACAAGCACCAATCACCATGGACGGGAGAAAATTACAGGAAGTTGTCACTTCCACACACCTGCCTAGGCAGCATCGTTTCAACCACAGGCGATACAGGCACAGATAAGGATGTCAATGCCAGGATCGGAAAGACAGCAAGACAGGCCTTCATTAATCTGAGATCTGTGTGGAAATCTACTGCACTCAGCATAAAGTGTGAACAACATCCACATTTTTAACAATGATGTCAGTCAAGTAACTCAGTGCTTCTATGTGATGATTGAGAGACTTGGTTTGTCATGAAATGTATTTCCGACAAACTACAGACATACGTGGTCAACAGCTGCCGTCTACACTCACTCGGTACTGACACTGAAGATGGAGATCAGATGGCCAGAATGGAGTAATAAGAATAAGCAGCAAGGAACTCTGGTGACCTGGCAACCAACCACTAAAGAAGGCATCACCCAACAGATATGCAGAAGAGGAAAGTGGAGATGGATTGGGTTGGATTGGCATACGGTGAGAAGACCGATTGGGATATCACGCGTCACGCCCTAGAGTGAAAGCTAAGTGGGAAACGACGAGTTTGGCATGTGAGCCGAGTGTGACATAGAGGAAATGGTGTAAGGAGTAAATGATAGCTTGTGGAAGTTGTGGAGCCGGGTTCAAGAGACTGAAGAGAAGAGAGTGCAATGCAGACATGCTACTGAAGCCGTATGTTCCACTAGGAATTCAAGGGACAAATAATAAATAATAATCCATAGGGTCTGTCCCAGAAGATAACTGTGTTGTTGTATAGATATATCTGTGTGGTGTACCACTAAAAGTATTTCGTCTTCGAAATATACTTTGGTATGGATTTCATTACCGGTTATAAAACGTTGACTGAATTTTCTTCTTTCAACTTGGGAGGTTACTTTGATTTGTAATGTATATACTATTATATGATTAAAATTTGTAGAAGGAACTTGAATTAAGGTTGAAAGGTGCTTGGCATTCGCTCTATGATAACTACAATGAGTGACATTTCAAGGCATCTCTAAGG